TTATTTCCTTTCCCCCAGTGAATGGTCACTTTCATAAAAGGCTGTAGATCCCTTTGAGGAAGACTAGTAGAAAGATTAATAGTATAAATTTTTAGTAGTGTAGTGGGGTCCTTCCACAATGGGATCCAGCCGCCCTTCATTTAAAGGGTTGTGGGTCTCTAAACTGCTCCAAGTCTGGGCATTGATTGAGAACCCATGATTTTCTATTCTGGCAATTCAAGTTAGACTTCTGTTCACTTGACCTAGAATTCTTTCTTGTACAGATCAAGTAAATATTTAGTAGATTTTCCATTTACTTCATGAATAGGGACACTATGCCTAAGGAGTCAACATCATAAGTCCATATAAGTCAGACTACTCTGATTTCTGCTTTGACTTTGCTTTCTACCACAGTAACCATGCCTACTTTGTCACTGCCAATTAAGTGCTGCCACTTGGCCCCTACCACCATGGCGTCCAATCAACCCCACTGCAGTCCACTATCTTAATCCAGACAGGATACTTCCCATTGTCAAATCTGACTTACATAAAATAGCAATCACAGCAGTCTTCAAGGATGCTGAGATTCCCTTCAGAAATTTGTTCCTCATTGATGTGGTAAAAAGTATGTCCTCTGGGCACTCTGTGTGTGGGTCTGTAGGTCTAACCTGATAAATCCACTCTAACATGCCAATTCCCCTAAATCTTTAGATACTTTCTTCTACCAAGTTAAGTCTTGAACTTCAACTGATTTTGTGTAGGCCACCACATAATATATACTTCAGTGAACCAATCAAAATAACTATTCGATCTTTTCCTAACCTCTTGAGCTGAAGTACTGAATAAAGAATCTGTCTTTAGTGGGCCCATATCAATAAACTCAGAGTGATCCAACTTTATCTTCCTTGCACCAATAGCCCACACCCTTAATAGCCAGTTTTACACATATTCTCCAGGTTTCTGTTTGTATATACTAAAAAAATCAAGCAATTCTTTAGAGTGTAGCTTATCTCCTTCTACGCTTGTACTTCACCTTTTGAAGTTTGATGGGACTTACATCTAGTTTAGAAGCAAAAATGAGTGGTGAGGGTGGGTCCTGGGAATACTCAGCAATGTTTTATAATTCATCTGCCTTAGGTGATGCCCCAGGCAGTAACTCAGATTCTTCGGCCACAACTAGGTTATTCTCATCAGATGGGGGTAGAGGGCTGGCTCTGTTGTTAGGAGTGAATCAACAGAATTTAGGGGCTCAGTGTCCCCAGCTTCCTGATCATCTGCCCATATGTCCCCATCTCAGGTTTCAGAATCACATTTCTTCCCAGTCAATGCCTTTGCTTTAACTTCAGACACCCTGAACACTGGGAATTCAATTGGCATAATTCAGGCACTGTTATAGTAAGACACTAGGTTTTTTGGGGTTTTTTTTTTTTTTTTTTTGGCAATATCAGCTGTTATTACAAGAAATAAGGCTTTCTTTCAGGGCCTTAATGGCAACTTTGAGGTTTTTTATGTGGTGCTTGAGTTTGTGTGACTCTGAAACCCCATTTCTTTCTTTCACCATTTTGTCTAGGATTAGTAGGAACAACCAACCAGCTTCCTTAAACTCATTCAGACAAAACTGTAGAACAGTTTCAAACATGTGATCACCCAAAGCCTCATTTCTCACCAATACTTGATGTACTAATGGTGATATTTTGTGTATTAATACTGCCACCTCATGTGATGGATTACCACTGTACTCTTTACTCATGGAGGCAGACTTATCAGTGCCTTTACAACTAATCAGACTTGAGATCAAATTTAAAAACTCATTCTTAATGATTTGCTTTCTCTAGAATTACTCTCGGGAGCTCTGGTAGCATAGTGGCTAAGACACTTGCCTGCTAACCAGACAGCTGGCGGTTCAAACCCACCAGCCACTCCTCAGAAGGAAGGTTGGGCAATCCTACTTCTGTAGTGATACTGCCTCAGAAACCCAAGGAGGGGTCGCTATGAGTCGGGTTTGACTCGACGGCACATAACAACAACAACAACAGAACTACTCTCAGCTGGGTTCTCTAGGGAAGCAAAATCAGTGATGCTTATATATGCATACATACAGAGAGATTTATCTCAAGGAGAAGGCTCACATGGTTGTAGAGGCTGGAAAGTCCCAAGTCCTTGGGTCAGACTTCAGGCTGGTAGCTTTTCCTGACTTACATAGCAGCAGAGGCTGATGAACTCAAGATCTGCAGGTCATATGGCAGGCGCTGGCTCAAGTTCCCAAGAACCAAACTCAGATGACAAGCCACATCCAGGATCCAGAGTGAGCAAAAAAGCCAGTGAGCTTTGCCAGAACGTCCCTATATGTTGGATGCAGGCCACACTCGCAAAGAAATACCCCTTGGCTGACTGCATCAGATCAGATCATGGGGGTGATTATATTATATCACAAAATGGAGGATAACTGCATCATTCCATTAACTGACAAAGTACATCATTACATAACTACCAACCCACTGAGAATCAAGGACTAGCCAAGCTGACACATAATCTTAACCATCACAGCTTGGCTGCTAACCAAAAAGTCGACGGTTTAAAACCACCAGCCACTCTGTGGGAGAAAGATGTGGAATTCTGCTTCCCTAAAGATTTACAGCCTTGGAAACCATAGAGGGCATTTCTGCTTTGCCATATAGGGTTGCTACGAATTGTAATAAACTCAACGCTAATGGGAAGTAGTAGTAAGTAGCAGTAACGGGGAGAGTAGGAAGATACATCTAAGTAAGTTTAAAGTTTTTGAATTTTGTTCTGTTCTGTTCTGGAGGCATGAGGAAGAAAGACAAATAACTTACCAAATAAAAGTAAAGTTGCTCAAATTCCTAGGGATATTTTTATTTTTGGAACACAGTTAAGCTTGTCACATAACTTACTTTCAAGTTACCACACATTCCACCTTTATTTCTCCTATATATTTTTCAAGAGTCTATCAGAATCATCTCTGTGATGTTTACACTGATTTTTAAATGAAGACTATCTGACCTTTACACTATTATATGATTGTTTAGAAGGAATTCAAAAGGGTTATCTGGGTGTCATAAAAGAGAAAATAGTAATATTGACCTTCTCTGTAATGGATAGGAGCTCTGGTAGCATAGTGCCTAAGGCACTTGACTGCTAACCAGAAGGCTGGTGGTTCAAACCCACCAGCCACTCCTCAGAAGGAAGACTGGGCAATCTCCTTCCATAGTGATACTGCCTCGGAAACCCAAGGACGGGTCGCTATGAGTCAGGGCCGACTCGACAGCACATAACAACAACAACAACTGTAATGGATAATCAACTTTTGAGGACCAGAAATAATTAATGATCAATTAACTTTTCCGAAGAGTAGAAACATTAAAAAATGGTTTGGAAGCTTCTTCTCCAATGTTTTAGTTCTACTTGCCTTTGGTAGCTTTAAAAAGATCTGCTTGTTATATTGTTTCCTCATGACACCAACAATCACCCCAAGAGTAGAAACATTTAAAAATGGTCTAGAAGCTTCTTCTCCAATGTTTAGTTCTACTGGCCTTTTGTAGCTTTATAAAGTTCTGCTTGTTATATTGTTTCCTCATGACACCAACAATTACCCAGCCAGTCTTCTGTCATTTCCTTATTCTTTGTGTTCTTCTGTTTCCTATCTCTGAAATCCTATAGCAGATAGTCAGGAGAACCCCAAAATGGAAAACAGCAGTGTTTTCTGACAGTTACTTGTTTGGGGATTTTAATTTTCTCATTTATAAAATGGCATTATTGTGTTTCCCTTGAAAAGTAATTATAAAAACAGAATCTCAGAAAACCATAGAATTACAATCAATTAATTTGGTAAATGTAAAAACTACAAACACATATATATGAGTAGTTCATGAACTTAGAATTTATTTAATGGAAATACATTGAAATAGTTAACAATGTATATTGAAACACCTAATTAAATTAAGTACTAGACTAAATAAATCTACAATTTAACATTCAGGAACTAGAGAACACTATAGGGCACAAGTCAGTGTTATCATCAACACTACCAAACAAGGTGGCTTCCAAAACAAAAAACAGTTGCTGATGAATTGACTCTGACTAATGGTGACCCCATGAGACTACTACCCAACATGTATGTCACAGTAAAATTCTGCTTCACAGGGGTTTAAATGGCTAATTTTTCAAAAGCTCACCAGGCAACTCTGGGTGGACTCAGACATCCAACCTTTCAGTTAGCCTTTGAGTGTGTTAACATTTGCCCCACTTAGGGCTCTTTAAAAACAATACCTTCTGTTCATTGAGAGCTTGTTATGCAGACCAAGCATGGAACTAGGTCAGTTACATATACTTTATTTTTTCTAATTTTTGCTACAACTCTGTGGAAGAGGGAGGGTATCCCCCATTTCACAGACTAGAGACTAAAGTTCAGAGAGGACAGGTGTCAAAAGCCACGCAGCTAGTAAATGTCACAGACTGGATTTGAATTCAGAACTGTCTGTCTACAAAGCCTCAGCTGCTATTCTACACTACTTTTCCAGAGACATGAAACTTCACCTACAGAAAAAAAATGCTTTAGAGCCAGCCCAACACAACTCCCACTGTGAAAAATCAAAGAGAAACTATTCCATAAGCATTCCACAATTTATAGCTTGAAGTGCATGTTGCTTATTACTAATTTTGACCTTCTACAATGGAATATCTTATTATATCAACTGTGTAGGGTAGGAGTAAGGGAGAGTTGTTTCTTTCCAGGTCAACTAATGAACAAACATTCTGAGTTTCTTCTGGAACAATAACAGTTCAGTTCTGCCCAACTGATACTAACAGTAGTCAGAGTTAGAATTCCCTTATCTATGGTACAATGTATATTACAGATACTACTGAACTTTTCAAATAAGATATCCAAAGTGAAAAACCTTAAAAAATAAGGCTATTTTCTCCAGACACTCAATTGAAAACTTCAGAAAGAGAATGTTTTTATCTTAAATGCTTAAAACAAGAGATTTTTAAAATATTCTTACCTGTGATTAAACTTATGACCAAAGGAAATCCAGTCCTTTTCAATTAATACCTATAAAAGAAAGAATATAAATTCTATGGAGAGAAGCAAACTAGGAAAACTGAGATCACAACCAATCGAAAGGTTCAGAGGTACTTGGAGCCAAAGCCACCACCTTTAGGGTAAGCTGCAAATGAAGAAGCATGCATTATCCACTAATACATAGAGAGAGACATCGCTGAAGGTCATCCAAGAGAAATAAGTGGGAATGAATGCATGAAAATGTAAAAATGCCTCTCATTCAATGCTTTTTATGTGGCAGGAAATGTTCATATATGACCTCATTTAATTGTGGACTGCATATCATTATCATTCCCATTTTACAGAAAGGGAAACTGAAGCAAAAAGAGGTTAAATACACAACTAAGATAATGCTACTAAGAAGTACTACATATCACCTTACAAACCATCTCTTAACCAGTATGTGATGCTGCCTCTCAGTATAATGTAAAACACCAAACTTTCTTACAAGAAACAGACAGGAATATTTTCCAGTGATCTTTACTACATGTTAGAAAAATGCTAAAATGATGGGGGTTTACAGTGTATTAAAAATTTCAGCCCTGCTTTGGAATTAGGGTTAACATGAGTTTATAGTCTTAAGAAATCTGGATGCAAAACTTTTTTTTTTTAACTGTGATTTGGGTGAGTTTAAAGAGCAAATTGGTTTTCCATTCAACAATTCATACATATTTCGTTTTGTGACATTCACTGAAATCCCAACAATGTAACAGCACTTCTCCCACTTCCACTCCGTCTTTACCATTTCTCTTCAAACCTCTTTCATATTCCTTCCTGCCTTCAGAGCTTTATCCCTGGGCAAATGTTGCCATTTTGATCTCATATGGTTGACTGTTCTGAGGAATACATATCTTTCTGGTATTACTGTTCACCTTACAGGCCTGTTGATCATTTGGCTGAGAGGAGCTCTGGTAGCACGGTGGCTAAACCATTTGGCTGCTAATCAAAATATCAGCAGTTCAAACCCACTAGCCCACTCTATAGGAGAAAGATGAGGCAGTCTGCTTCTGTAAAGATTTATAGCATTGGAGCAGTTCCAGGTGTCTTAAAGGGTCAACATGGTCTGAACTGACTGGATGGTAGTAGGTTTCAATTTTGGTTTTGTATCATTTGGCTAAAAGTTGAGAAACAAGGATAAGTTCAGTTCCTAGCTTAAAGGGTATCTAAGAGCCACAGACTTGGGGGTTCCACCACACCAGTAAGCCTAGTCTTTTTAATGACTTTGAGTTTTGCTCTACATTTTTCTCCCACTCTATCTGGAATCTCCTATTGTGACCCTTCCAGAGCAGTCAGCAGTGGTAGCTGGGTATCATCTAGTACTTCTGGTCTCAGGGTAATGGAGGCTGGGGTTCACATGGACCATTAGTGGACTAACTGTTTCCTTATGTCTTTGATTTTCTTCACTCTTCTTTGCTCCAGATGGAAAGAGACCAAAAGTTGCACTTTAGACGTCTGCTCACAAGTAAAAGCAAGTTTTTAAAAATCATATAATATGGAGTATTCTTATCAATATAATGAATGCTCTAAAATGACCAGAAGTTTCCCCTAAAAAAAATATGGCATGATTGAAGTTTGTCCATGACAGCCCTAGAGGCATTTGGTGTGGGTCCTCAGTTTAATGGGCTAGGATTAGAATGAGTCAATAGCAGAACAGGGTAGTGAAACAGGTGGGAATGAGGTCAAGATAAAATGACAAATTATGTGAGGCTCAAGTTCGTGTGTGCTTGGGAACTCTTCACTTTCCAAATGTAAATGAAGGAATCCAATCGTTCTGACCTCAGGAGAAGGGTCTGAAGCAAGAGTGTCACTCTGAAGTTTCAGTGCTGTTATCGGTAATTGGAAGTTATCTGACACTTCAATTGAAAATGAAAGAAAGAAAGAAAAAGCCCAAGAAGGGAAATTGCCTCTTCTCTCTTGTCCCCAAGATGTTAGCTCATCAGCTGAAATGACTTGATAAAGGAGTAGATCCAGCAGTGAAGACATCCTGTTAGGGCTCCTTTGTCTGCATCTATCCCCAGCATGGCTCTAGACCCACTGAAGCCCTTTCTACCAAGTCGTGGTTAAAGAGTATCAGGTGATTCTCAGTCGCTAGGGAATCCCTGTAGTCACTTTAAGACACTGATTAAATAGAAAAATTAGTTGCCAATAGTTGCCCAAAGAAAGGCTCATTACTGTTCAAGGCACTGCCTCCGGTAGAGGAACCACTGAGTGGCCACACTCACCATGAAGCCCTTGAGAGTCCGGTAGTGAGAGTCCAGCAGGAGGCTGGCCACTGAGCACACCTGCGCTGTCCTATCCCAGCCATCAGAACAGTGAACAAGTACACTTGCTCCTTCCTCGGAAACTGCCTAATAACACAGGATTTGCAAAGAGTCACAAAGGTTGGAGTAAAAGGGCAAAGATCATGCATCGGAACTAGGTTTGGTACAAAGGAACAGGCCATAAAAGCAAAATAAATGCCATATGTCCATTCATTTAGTGTTTATTACCCACCCAGTTGGGGCAGAACCAAGGAGTAGTTCATTGAGGTGGCCAAAGCTTTACTTGACCTTCCTGTTAAATCCACAAGCCACCACCCAAGCCACTGCAAGTAAACATATAGACTAAAGAAAAGTGTGCTTCCTCTGTAAACACAGTCAGGACATATCCCCTGACCCACCCTCAACTCTTCCTTCCCTCCAGTTTTAAGCCTTTCCAATATTCTGGTGTTGTCATAAAACTAATACATTACCAAAATGAGAAAGACACAAAAATTATACTAAAAGCCTAAAGTTAAAATAAAATAAAAGGATATGAGCCAAGTAATGGATCCTGGGTGGAGGAAGAAGAAGAAAACAAAGGAAAAAATTATACCAAAAAAATCTCTGCTAAGGAAGGAATTTCTATTTACAACTACAAGTGAGTGTACCATTACTGGCATCTTGAGTATCTTGGTGGGAAACATAAACTGGGAAGCATAGTGGAGATTTCACCACAGTACCTACTGAAATCCTTTATCTACTCATTTATGCATTTTCTGTCTTCTACACCAGAGTACAAGCTTGCAAGGATACAGACTTGATCTGACTTAATCAACATGGTATCCTAGAACAGTGCCCTACACTAAATAAATATGTGATGAAGAAATAATTAGCATACAATGTCATTAAAGAAAACAAAAGGCACAGTTCACTTTAGGTCTAAATCAGAGGAATTTCTAAAAGGACACTAAACAACCAGCTGGACAATGCATTCAAAACAGCTATATGAAATTTGCAGCAAGATTTGTCCTGCGGCAGAAAGCAACCCACCTACCAGCTATATGAATATGGCTTTTGCTTACACCATGATTAAAATGGATAAATCTATTTACCAAGATTTAGGCAACAGGCAAGGAGCCTAAAGATTAAGCACATGCCTGCTACTGGAAAGGTCTGAGGCCTGAACCTGCCAGCCACTCTGCAGGAGGAAACACCTAGCAATCTGCTCCCATAAAGATTATAGCCAAGGAAGCCCCATGGGGCAGCTCTACTCTGTCATAACAGGGTTGCTGTGAGTTGGAATCAACTTGAGGGCATCCAAGGCAACAGGCATCGATCATGGAATGACTCACATTTGTTCCCTGGAAGAAGAAATGTCTTTCCTCCTCCCAGGACCAAGCCTAGTTGAGGAGAGAATATTCTGCAGATATTCTACCATTTGATTGCTGCAGTGACATGCTGAGCACCAGCCATACTCTCGCAAAATCACATCTTCTCAGAGCAAACTAGGTGAAGGCCTGCCAAGTCTGCCATCCTCTCAGGGCAGCCTATGTGGAGGAAACAGGACCTCCTTACCAAAATCAAGTGTGCTTGCTGCACTGCCCTTGAGTTTATTTTTCTCTGTCATCTCATACCTTTGCAATGAAGATTCCTGCATCCATAATGGCCTTAATGTGCCTTAACCAGCCAGAGTTCTCCAGTCCCCACAGGAAATCACTCATCAAGGGAGATTTAAGTTCACACACTGCAAAATAAATCAGGTTATAAAAATGAAATAAAGGTGCTATCTCATTTTAGGTGAGACCAATCAACTTCTGCAGGGAGTTGATGAACGATTTCTTCATAGTATTAGATACTTTCTGGATGGAAGACTGAAGATAAGATGAAAGCCCAAACTTACCAAAATTGCTTCTATTCAATCATCTCAAGTAAGGCTTTTCTACCTTCTTTGGTCACAGGGGATGCTATGTCTGTTTAGAAGTATTACACTTACAAAGTTTAAATTTTCAATATTAATGAAAATCATTGAATGTTGGATCATAGTAAAGGCCCAGGAGAGAACATCTATTTTTTCTCTTTGAGTAAATATATTCAAAATAGGCCCCTTAAGAGCACTGAAGTTAAAAGTGCTATGGAGGGGAATAAAAAAATTCTTAATAACTCAGTCATCCAGCACTTCTCTAATTAGAACTCTTTACCACCCAGCCATTTCAGAATACAACTACTGTAAAAATACAAATATCCTAAACACCTTAAATGGAAGTGATCAAACTCTCCTTGCTAGCAACCTCACATACAACGAGAGTAAAGTGTGTGAGCTTAAAACTGAGATCCTATACTTCTGAATCTCTTCTAGAGAATCAAGTTAGGTGTTTTTTTTTTTTTTTTTTTTTGTCAATTGAAAATAAAGAAAACCTAGAATGCTAATGTTGTTGTTGTTGTTGTTATGTGCTGTCAAGTGGAATCCGACTCATAGTGACCCCTCCTTGGGTTTCCAAGGCAGTATCACTACAGAAGTAGATTGCCTAACCTTCCTTGCAAGCAGTGGCTGGTGGGTTTGGACCGTCAGCCTCCTGGTTAGCAGTCAAGTGCCTTAGGCACTATGCCACCAGAGCTCCCAGGATGCTGTTGTTGTTGTTGTTATTTGCCGTCAAGTCGGCCCCGACTCATAGCGACCCCTTCTTGGGTTTCTGAGGAGCTCTGGTAGCATAGTGCCTAAGGCACTTGCCTGCTCACCAGACAGCTGGCGGTTCAAACCCGCCAGCCACTCCTCGGAAGGAAGGTTGGGCAATCCTACTTTCGTAGTGATACTGCCTCGGAAACCCAAGGAGGGGTCGCTATGAGTTGGGTTTGACTCGACAGCACATAACAACAACAACATCACTATGGAAGTAGGATTGCCCAACCTTCCTTCCAAGGAGTGGCTGGTGGGTTTGAACCGCCAGCCTTCTGGTTAGCAGTCAAGTGCCTTAGGCACTATGCTACCAGAGCTCCTCCCAGGATGCTAATACTACCTATATTTAAACAACTAAGGCAGGTCTGTAACACTTCTATATTATTTATCATAAGCAACTTTCATCTAGAGAGTTAATCACTTATATTACAGAAAGCATAGGCAGAATTTTGTACCCCAAAAATATGTGTTGCAAAATTCTAAACTCTGTGGATGTAATTGCATTTGGGAACAGGGTTTTCTTTGTTATGTTAATGAACCCATATCAGTGGAGGGAGTGTCTTAAGCCAATCAATTTTGAGATACGAAATGAATGGAGGAGGCACAGAAGCAAGCATGCATAGATGGAGGAAGCTAGATGCCACACCACTAGACAGGTGTACAGAAGCGGCAACCTAGGAACAGAAGCTGAGATGAGACAGGGATTTTCCCCTAGAGCCAACAGAGAGAAGCTTCCCCTAGAGCTAGTGCCCTGAATTCAGATTTCTGATCTCCTAAATTGTGTGAAAATAAAATTTTGGTTGTTAAAGTCACCCACTGTGGTACTTCGTTATAGCAGAAAGTTATAAGTTAACTAATAGATATAAGAAACTAAGACAAGCATGAAAAAGCTTAGAGCTACTGTTCTGACTAAATAATACATCAGAAATATTTTATTCTAAAGTTTATGGGCTCTTATGCACGTGAGCTGGACAATGGATAAGGAAGACAAAAGCGGAGTTGATGTTTTAGAGTTGCGGTGTTGGTAAAGAATGCTGAGAGAACCTTGGTCTGCTAAAAGGACAAACAGATCTGTCCTGGAAGAAGCGCAGCCGGAATGCTCCATGGAAGTAAGAATGGCCAGACTTGACTCATCTGCTTTGGTCATGTTGTCAGAGGGAACCATTCCCTGGAGAAGGATTATTATGCTTGGTAAAGTGGAGGGTTGATGAAAGAGGGCAAGGCCCTGAGCAACATGGATTGACACAGTGGCTGCAGCAGTGGGCTCAGGTATAACAAGGATCATGAGGCTGGCACAGGACCAGGCAGTGTTTTGTTCTGTTGTACATAAGGTCGCTATGAGTCGGAGATGACTCGACAGCACCTAACAACAACAACATACCTGCATATCTATGCAGCCCTTTTGAGGAGGCTTAATTTAACCAATGAAAATCAGTAGGTTTTTTTTTTTTTTTTGCTTTAAGTCTATTTTATTATACTCTGTGATGCAATAACACGTGTATCTCTTGAATGGTTGGAGGATACAGGGTGGGATGTTCAATACTTGAGTTGTAAGATTGGATGCCAGTGTCCTCAGAGCAGAGTTGGAGAGGGGAGCCTTGGGCCTCAGCTGATTTTCACTTACTCCCTCTGTTTTTGCATGGAGTTTTCTACATCCCACCCCAAAGCTATGCCTAGTATCTGTGAGCCCAGGTTCCCTCTAGTTCAATTTTTCCATAAACTAAGTCACCATCTTCTGTTGTGGGGTGTGAGATGAGACCTTACTAGACACTGCAGTTGAGAGAGGGATCTGGAGCTTAATAAACTGTTTCTTATACATTCAACCAGCACTCCTGTTTTCAGAGGCACCTGATGCCTCTAATCCTGGAGGTGTTCTGAGGTTCTGTAGGATAATTTGGCTGGCTTTTGAGTACCTCACACTTATACCATAAATTTCCACTTTTTTCTAGTCTATTGAGTTAGTTCTCATTCATCCATCTATTTTCCAGCTTGTAAAAATTTGTGGCTGTCATTTCCTCTTCCATTGTATTTTTGCCTTTTTTTTTCTTCTTCTTTTTAACGCTTCATCATCATTCCAGTTGGGGTCAGGAGGAAGTAGATAAAATACTCAGTACACAGTGTATAGCTGGACCAGAAAGATGAGATCAAACTTTGGGACTGTGCAAGCCAGCAATTGGAACTGAGATTTCCTATATCAAACGAAGCCATTTAAAAAAAAAAAAAAAAAGAATCTACTCAAGGACTCAGAATGGTGATCAATAAGCCTGTCTCTGCCTGGACTCTGCCATGAGGGAAAGAAGAAAAATTTATCTTGAGAAGTTGAAACCCCGGGCCTGGCCTCAGACATGTCTACAATCTAAATCTGTATTTTCCTATGTGCAGGAAATTATCATATTTGGGCTGACAGTCTCAAAGACACCTGGCAGAAACAAACTGAAAACTACTCAGGAGCAACACTTCCATGGCACAGCCTGGACAGGAATCTGACAGAAACAGCTTTACCAAAGATAACTGTGCAATAAAAATTTACTGTCAACTAGGAACAGTGTTCACAAGTAAGAGCAGGCACATAGAGGAAAGAAGACACAGGATTAGCACCCTAAGAATGTGATACCATAAAGTGATAATGTGGAAGAGGCTATAACAATATTTGAATTGGAGCAGGAGAATGGACAGCATCACAAAACACAAAACAGATCAATTTCCTCATGCGTTTGAAGCATTGAGAGATGACTTACACTTAGAATGGTTTGAGGATAGGTCTGTGTTTTACCTATGCTTGCAGCCAGACTTCCCAGAATCTCCCTCTTCATATGGTTCCAGGATAGGGTTTGCCACAGATATTTGCATGGTATTTGGAAGGTGGAAGGGATGCAGCAGCGTTTATCCTGCAGTGTAGGACACCAAGCATTGATGCAGGTTCTATATGCATGGCCCAGTCAGTCCTAACTCCCCCCTTGCCTTGTGTCCGGGTTTTCTTTCCTACTGCAGGCTCGCTGACCAACAACAACTTCAAGTCTCCACCAACATGGGAGCAACAGTCTTCCACAGATTTCTTCACCAGCTCCCTTCTGCTGCCCCTCATTAGACTTTCCTCTGGAGCACCAACCACCCCACTCTGCTTACTTCCTCAGGTTCTCCCTCAAACAAAGCCCTTTTTCCAAACAAGTCATGGTAGCTCTGCTTTTCTGACCACATCCCTAACTAATAGAGTACATAAATAAATAAATAAATAAATAAATAAATAAATAAAACAGTTGTTATTGAGTCTAATCTGATTCACGGTAAGCCTATGTGTGTCACAGTAGTATTGTGCCCCTTAGTTTTCAATAGCTGTGACCTTTCAGAAGTAAATTACCAGTTCTTTCTTCCAAGGTGAGTTCAAACCACCACTCCTTCTTTCATTTACTAGCTGAGTGCTTATCTATCTGTGCCACAGAGAGAACTAAAATTATGAGACAATTACTATCTTAAGGGAAAACAAAAAATTGTAGTAAAAAGGAAATATAATACTATTCACAAGTCTTAGCTGTGAATCATATTCCCTTCATCATCATAATGTATACACTGAATAGGGAGCTAATCAAAATCATGGTTGAACTCTCTGGGGATGATAGGGGAGGAAGCGTGTGTTGTGAGAGGTCCACAGGAAGTGTAAGAAAGCCTATTGCTCCTCCTCCACAGGAGGAAGTCCATCCACCCACTGAAAAGCCCACTGGTATCGAGTTGTTTCTGACTCATAGTTACCCTATAGGTCAGAGCAGAATTGCCATACCAAAACCTAACCCACTGCCGTTAAGTTGGATCCTGTTTCTGAGGTGGTATCACTACAGAAGTAGATCACCAGTCTTCCTTCCAAGGAGTGGCTGGTGGGTTTGAACCACCAGCCTTCTGGTTAGCAATCAAATGCTTTAGGCCCTACACTACCAGAGCTCCTAGAATTGCCATGGAGGTTTCAAAACTTTACCCAAGCAGACTGCCTCATCTTCTCCTACAGAGAAGCTGAGTGGTTTGAATTGCTGACCTTTTGGTTAGCAGCCCAATGCTTTAACCCCAGTGCCACCAGAGCT